TCAAGAACTCCATGTCTTGTTCAAATGACACATCCACATTTCTAGGGCTCAAGAACTCCATGTCTTGTTCAAATGATACATCCACATTTCTAGGGCTCAAGATCTCCATGTCTTGTTCAAATGATACATCCACATTTCTAGGGCTCAAGAACTCCATGTCTTGTTCAAATGATACATCCACATTTCTAGGGCTCAAGATCTCCATGTCTTGTTCAAATGATACATCCACATTTCTAGGGCTCAAGAACTCCATGTCTTGTTCAAATGATACATCTTTATCCATTACATCTTCAACAGATTCAGATCTACAGATAGGCTGTGCTTTTCTTTTTTCACAAAACATAAAAGCAACATGAGCCCTCATGGTAAGTATTTACATTCAAATGATGAATCAAGGGCAGATGAATGAAAGCTTATATTTCACTGTCATTTTTATGCAGTCATATTCTGATAACCGATGTGTATTAAACTTTTCACTTCCATTAATTCAGCTTTTCTTGCTTTAAGTACTGATGATATTTTATCTTGGAATATTTTGACTTCATATTCTGAGCTAGTGTGTCCTGAAGTTCTCTACGTTTTCTCTTTCTCATGACAACCACTGAATGACAACAGGATCACCTTAAGTCAAAAAATGAATTAAACTTAAAAGCACCAACTTATGAACCTTCAGCAGTTCTTTCATGCATTAAGGCAATACCCATAAAATTCTTCTTATACAAGTCTTTTCATTGTTGTACAATGATTATTTCATTTCAAATAAAACAGTTGAGAGACATTTTAAGTCCTTGATGTATAATTAACCTGAAAAAAAAAAGAAGAAAATTACAATTATAATGAAGAACATAAACACCAAATATGAATGTCTATGTATAAACTTGATAACACTTCATACAAAGTATACATACAGTAATAAAAAGTGGCTATATACATAATACATATAACCCATAATTTCTTATGTCCAGTATATCATATTGAATATAACCTTCGTTACATATTTTGCTGTATGAAATCTTCATGATAAATAATTTATCACAGAAGTTCCACAAATACTTATACAATTTTTCATCATTGCTAATGAAGTTTTGGAGTGGATTTTATCAAACAGACAAGTAGTAAATCTGTCAAAAGCTTTGAATACCCAGATCATGTCAGCAGTTAGCTGATGAACTTAACACACAGCTCAAGTTAATAGAATATTAGATACACTATCACTAAATAGGCTTCATAAATTAGACACAACGAGCCTTGTTTTTTTACGATGTACTGTCACATGTACTTTTAACTCAGAAATGCCACAAATTATTTATCAATGACTCATCTTGCACTTGCAGTATTTTAATTTTTTTTCTTTCAAACATGTCGACTTAATTCTAGATAAGAGTCATAATTGGGTGCTTGATACTTAAACCACTAAATACTATATTTATGCCACAGCAAGTACTTGTTTTTACAACCGGAAATATTACATCAGCACTGTCAGTACAGTTATTTTGGTTCTCTAGCACTTTATGGTGCCAAGTTTGCTTCTACAAGTAATCAAATTATTATAAATGTTAAACTAAAACATAGGGTAATGTTTAATATACATGACTGGTCCCAACAGATTTTACCATAATGCATAAGATGACTCGCTAGCCCTCACCAACACATCTTAATACTCAACAAAAGACGTCTCTCATTGTCATAAGATAATTGCTTGGTTTATGAAACTTGAAAGATTAGTTCTGAAGTTAAAACAAAAACGCTTAGGCCACAAGAGACTAAACTTAGGAAAACGGGCAAATTTTTCTCCCCGTATGGCTGAATAACTTCTTGAGGATGTAGAAAAGTATGTCAAAGAACCTAGTAAATAGGATGCTATATTATACTATCTTCTGTATACCAAATAGAACAAGATTAGAAATATTGTGCAAGAAGACATCAGTACTGGTGATCATTACATTAGCTGATATTCATACTAATAAAAATTCTAGATCTAATAGGGCTTGTCCCCTACATTAAAGGGGACATCTACAATAATGAAAACTGTTATAAGTATTGTAGCTCCTGTTATATGCTGGGAGGTGAGAATTAACCTTTAACCAAGCCATTAAAAAGTAAGAGAAGATGAGTATTACAAACAAGAATTTGAAGAAATGACATCCAAGTACATCATATCAATATTTGATACTTCTAATTACAGAGAGCACTGCATGTGAAAATGTTTTGTTTGACATGATAAACTGAACCAAAACAATTTTAACAGCTCTTATTTAAGTTATTAGGCCTATCACTGTATATCCATGTGCTGTTATGTACTAACTACATACTGTACACCTCACTTATTACCTAACGGTGGGATAACATAAATTACCTTTATTGCATATAAGTTATACTTGTAGGATTTAATTGTGATAGCCTGTAAAGTGTAAGTGTGAGAATACTGAAATCTTTCCAATAACATGAAATAAACAATATCCTTTCTTAGATAAGGAAACCAATGCCACAAACAATATTTCAAATAAGGCCTAACTTACTTGAAAATACCTCTTTTAACTTGTAACATAGGTTGTAATCAGTATGCCTTTAAATGCATCTTTAAAAAATTATATTAGCTTTGATGCTACTCATATTATGAGCAATACGACACTATCTCGACTTATGAACCACTACTCAAAGACCCTTTTAACTTTTAGTCACACTACTGTAAAAGTTTTCATCTGTATTTTTACTAAATTATACTTAGTAAACTGTCTTTACTTACCTCAATACCTGGGTTTTATGTGTATAACTTATAAGGATATACCTAGTAACACAATGCTTTACTCATTACTATGAAATGGAACATGATCCACTTCTACAATTTCTTAAAATCATCGACGTTCTTAGACTTAGCTTTACTTCTTTACGATATTTGTTCCGTACAATTAAAATTTTCCAATCGTATTCTATTCGTTTCAATTTAACCCTAACATTTGATTTGCTCCTTACAATGAGGTGTTGTAATGCCCACTGGCGAGAGTAATTTATTTGACTAAAAAACAAAATAATAATAACCACCATGATTTTTGAGCATAAAATGTGCAAATGTTGTGAATATAGAGATGTTCTAATCTAAATAAGTATATCGAAGTTAAAGTATTATCAGCATAGCAATGTAAAGCCACTAATTACAGTCAGGATTATTTTTTTTTTTATGCACGGCGACAAAGAAGAGAAAATTTCGGCTACATGTATTTGAATTACTCCCCATCGTAAATTAGCTATAATTCTTATTTCGGTTTCTCGTTTTTAATAACTAATTACGTGAAAGCATAACGTAGTTTACTTGTTATATTTTATAATGTGTCTGATTTCCCCAGTAATTTATTGTAAATATACATTGCTTATTTTCACCTAAATTAAAACGTAACATCATGTATAAAACACACTGGAGAATAGCCTACAGCGCAATCATTATAATAAATACGAGTAATCTCCAGAAATGTGTATTGTTGTAACATATTCTGTCGTTGGGTGGATTCTTTTGGTTATTTGGTAAATAATGTAAAGTCCAGTCCACTTAACAATAACGAATGAATTTATTTCTTCAATAACGTTTGTTACAGGCCACGTTCACTTTAACGCAAGTTGTAGGCTTACTTTCACAAACAAACTTTCTAACGTAGGTTTAATGCATTAATATCGTTTAACAGATTTTTTTTATTGAAGCAAATGCTGGCTGACTTACTGATTAGTTTACAGAAGCATTAACTCTTACTGAATAGTTTCTTGGTGGCTTAGTGGCAAATCTGAGGGGGTTCACCAACTAAAAATTGAGTTTGATACTCGTGGTGGGCACAACACAGTTAGCCCATTGTGTAGCTTTCTGTTTAACAACAAACAAACAAACTTACTAAATAACTTTATTTGATCAACCTGCTCTAAATTATTCACACACTGAATACTCAACTGAATTCCCAATCACTGCACTCAATAATGAATTCAAATATAGACATTAGTAGGAGAATAATTAGATTCTTTACGTCATTAATTGTCATCGTGTACCTTCTAAGTATGTTACGACTCCTTTAATGAATTTACTACTCTATAGCTCATAATGTTTGTGGATAACTTACATCAAGGAAGGGTGAAATTGGGAACTGACTTCAAGCACATACATGGCTACGAGGTTACGCTAGCTTCAAATAGCTTCACAGTCTATGATCAGAAAATTCTTGTGCAATGCATGGAAGTGCTACACCAGAGAATGGACTTCCTTTGACAACGAGGTGAGTAGTTATTATACTACCGAGAAGTGAATTATTCATACCAAGACTTGTTAAAAATACATTTACAACTAATGACTAGGCCAAAATGGAGTCAAACACTCCATTATGATCTGGTGGACTAAGAGTTGGTAGAACTCTTGTGGACCTGAAGAATAATGATGTCATCCTTAGGGTCATGAATACAACAAACCATAAGATTTAATTCAAATCTGGATTGTACATTGCAAAATGTGAGACTGTACAAATTGTATTTCAACATAAAAGAATGTCAGAAGTAGTCACCTTTGAAGGAAAATGTAGAAAGTCTGATGTCAATCCCCTATGTAAAGACAGCTTATCATATCACTTACAAGAGTTGTATGATTGGAGCTTGGGGTGGGATCTTACAACTGATCAGCACAGCAGCTATATTACTTGCTCATGGAATATGAAGACATCTTCTTCAGTAGACCTCATGACTTAGGGTGAACAAGTAGCATGTCTCAAAAAATTGATACTGGAGACGCAGCCAGGTAACTCCCATTTGTAAAACAGACTAAGCCTTTCAAAAAGATAAATGCCACGAAGGAACAGGGAGTGACAGAGCTGAGTACTAGTTTTTGGGCATCACACATTGTACTTGTGAAGAAGAATGATGAATCCACAAGGTTTTTCATGGACTACCAGAAAGTTAATGAAATTATAAAAGGATTTTTACCCACTGCTGTTGATTGAATCTACCTTGGTTGTTTTATCAAGATCAAAATGTTTTTCAACATTGGATCTTAAAAGTGAATATTGGCAAATGGAGGTCGACAAAGCAACTAGAGAGACTACAGACATTTTTCTGGTTTTTTTCCTTTGCTTAGTCAGTTTAATTCAGCTCTTAAATTTAGTTTGTCAAGATCACCATATCAAAAAGTTGGACATTTTCTCCATATCTAGTGGTCATTCATAATAGGTAAAAAAAGAGAAAAGGGATACTATATTTGAGATTGAAGATCCAAACAACCACACAGACATATACATCATGGATAATACTCTCAAGCTGAGGAAAGAAAGGACACGTAGGATGCAATTATAATTTGTGATTCAAACTTCTTTAGCTTGGCTCTTACTGGAAAATATCACAAGGAGTTTTCCAGGAGAGTTCACATCTTTAAAACGTTTGGAGTTTATTTGATCCCAGACTACCTTCCATTTAAAAAAGAAGGCCTCTAACATTAACTAGGGAATCCATTACAGTTTTGAATCTATTGTTAGTATATTTAGTAAGAATTTTGTAGTCCACATCACACAAATTTATTGGTTAGTAACCACTAATGTTTCTTGTACCATTATTATTATTTGGAAAGCGATGGCACATGTTTTTAAGCAATAAAGGAAAGGATCGGTTGTTTAAACTTGTGTTAAACATATTAACAGAGATACTGTCTATGATATTTTAAAAACATCTGTAAAACTCAATAGGGGTGCATCAAGATTGAGAGATGTATTAAGCAACTCACCATTCCTGAGGTGAGAGGGTTAACAAGGTTATTTACAGTTGAAGACTCAGGTGTTCAATCATTTTGTCCCATTCACTAATGTCCTGAGGCGTCCTCAATCATTCCTCTGAAAAAGTTGTTTCTAAGGCTTTTGATATGTTGGAATCATTTGACGTGATGTGACACACCCTCCAAATTATCTCATACACACTTACTTGATAAGACTGAAGTCCAGCGAGCATGCATGTCACACTATTAGGCGTTGGTACCTCCTATAATGCGTGACGTTTCTACAAGAAAATGGGGTTACAGATTCACTGACTCTCAAATGAGCATACAACTGTTACCTAGATGCAGAGCGAAATGCGATTTATTTATATTGTTGTAAGGTATGTTTTTAATGTTGTAATTTGTATGTTTGTTAGAGAACGCTTGATGATAAGATAGGAATAGAACTCATAGAAAGTTCTAATTTGACATATCAAGTTTTTCTCCTACATTCGAAGCCAGATTATAAATACGAGATAGCTGTGGAGTGTGTAGTTAGTAGAAAGATAATGAAGGATATAGTTAAGAGTGTGTGGTTATAAGAAGTTAAATTGCTCAAGGAGAAAATAAAATAATTTGTTCTCGCCACGAGAACTAAACCTTTAATATCTTTCACCAAAAAATTTAAAAGAATCTACCAAAAGATTGTTTGTTGCTAAGCGCAAAGCTACACAAGAGGCTACATAGATATCGAAACCCGATTTTTAGCGTAGTAAGTTCAGAGACTTACCGCTCAGCCACTGGAGGGCAAGTAACCTATAAAGAAGAAAAACATTACTGCAATATTAAAATAATATTGTTCAGTTTGTTTTGTTTTAAGTTAAGCACAAAGCTACACAATGGGCTATCTGTGCTCTGCCCACCACGGGTATCGAAACCCGGATTCTAGCATTGTAAGTCCGCAGACATACAGATGTGCTACTGGGGGGCACGTTCAGTTTGTTGTTTGTCCACTGGACGTATTTTTAGCACTATGTCAGGCGAGCTGTGTGAATAATATTGTTCAGTTTGTTGTTTGTCCACTGGACGTATTTTTAGCACTATGTCAGGCGAGCTGTGTGAATAATATTGTTCAGTTTGTTG